ACTTGTATCACTGAAGATCCTTGGGATGAATTTCTACCGGAAACAAACAAACAAGCAGATACGTAACACTTCTCTTTGCAAGTGAGGTAATAAAAATTGTCCCAGTAATTATAAGGCTATTAGTCTTCTATCAGTGGTTGTAAATGTTTTTGAACGTTTAAAAAAAGTATACTTTGCAAAGTCATTTAACAAAGTTTAAGATTTTGTGAGATAGTTTGCGTGGTTTCACTAGGGGATATCTTTCCTTATTAATGTTTTAACATTCTTCGAAGAGGTTAATGCTTGTGTGGATGAGGGTAAGAATGTGAATTTGTTGTATCTGGATTTTCAGAAAATATTTGACAAGGTTCCATATAAAAGACTTAATAAAAAGTGAACTCTGTAGATATGGGGGTTAGGTTGACTCATTTAACAGAAGACTGGCTGGATGGAAGAAAGCAGGGGGTTATTATAAATGGAATTTAGTCAAACTGGATTAATGTCACAAATAGGGTATGTATAGAGAGATTATAATTTCATTATATAGGTCATTGGTTAGGCCACATTAGGAGTACTTTATTCAGTACTTGGTTTCTTAACTTAGAAAGAACATTGAATTTTTGGATTGTTTGTTTGTTATGAATTTCGCTCAAAGCTGCACATGGGCTATCTGCAATAGCCGTCCCTAATTTAGCAGTGAAGTACTAGAGGGAGAGTAACTAGTCATCACCAACTCTTGGGCTACTCTTTTACCAACGAATAGTGGGATTGACCATCACATTATAACACCCCAACGGCTGAAAAGGCGAGCATGTTTGGTGGGACGGGGATTCGAACCTGCAGATTGCTATTCGAGTGCCCAAAATTCTTGGAAAGGACCAGAAGAGGACTATTAAGGTGATACATGGGATGGAAAAGTTATCATATAAGGATAGGTTAAGATCTCTGAAATTGTTTTATCTTGAAAGAAAGAAAGAAAGAAGAGATAGAGGGGATCTGATTGAGGTGATTAATATTGTTTAGGAAATTGATAGTGATGATGCATTATCTTTATCGTATTTAATTGTGAGAATAGTCAGACTAGGGGATACAAATATCAATTGGCCTTTGGAATGGGCTACTTTCTGATGTGGTAGATGTAGTTAATTTAAGATAGTTTAAGGACAGGCTTGATAAATGTTCGAATGATAAGGATTATATTGAGTGTTTATTTTTATTTCAGAGTTTAGTATATTGGATGAGATGGCCTAGATAGGTCCTTGTTGTCTTAAGTTAATGTATATGTATGTATATAATACTAGATTCTTCCGTCCTGTGGCTGCCATGGGTCGAACTACATTTCGTCTGGAAACAATTCTTCCTTTCGTGACATGCATATGTAGTTGTGAACCTTCCTTCTGTGCATTTAATGCAGCCAACTCCATCAGTAGAAAAGTAGAACAGGTAGCGGGTACACGTGAAATTTCTCGTCAGAAGGTGGGATTTTACAAGAATACACCAAAATAGCACATACCATTGTTTGGATGATTTACATTCCTAAGCTGAAGAAAATCTTTCCAAAATTAAGGTCTAAGCAGAGCCGTAGAGAGATGTATCATCATCAACTACCTCATTGTCTACTCTAATGACCATCTTACCAGCCATCGCCATTACAATAAGTGTGAATATTAGAATATGTACATCTTGGGCTGATTCAGCTCTTCCCCATAATTGCCAACAAAAATAACTTGCCACCTGGAATGTCTGACAGCAGTGCTAACTTCAGTCCTAGTGAAATAGGCATCTATCTGACCATCACAGCCAGACATAGTCACGGAAGTGAACAGAAGTGTGGATCTTGTGTCAACAGAAGAAGGACAAAAAGATTGGTTACTGGCGATGGGTTAGAGACCTTTTTGCTAGGTTCGTGATGAACTCACTAAAACTAAGAAGGACTTGAACAGAACCACTATGACTAGCCAAAATTTCATTGCTACCTTGGAAAGTCTGTTGTTGAAAATATAACATTCTGCTCTGGATGAGTGCTAAATACTTTGTATCTTCCATTTTTCATATCAAATAAGTTTCCTTATTGTATCTATGTAATAAGCTTCTTCAGTGTATGTGTGTGTGTCACGTAACTTCTCCCAAACCACTGGTCGCACCAACACTTAAATATTACCAAATGAATCATCTCGGTCCCAGGATTTACACAAAGGTAAAACTTTTCATTCAAACCCTTGTTGGATATACACGACTGTTTCTGTTTAAGTACAGCATGAGTGTTAAATTTATGTATTTTTAGAAGCGATAGTTTATCGCAAGTTTTTTACGTAACTGTTTTCGAATCATATGTTGCACAGTTCAATTGTTGTGAATTGGTGTATTACTGCATCATGTTACTTGTGCCTTCTGTGTTTTTCTCGTTGGTTTAATTGAGTATTACTGCATCACCGTAGCTCGTAGTATGTGAAACATTCTAGGTTTCTATTGGGCTATAAATACGCATCCAAAATGTAGTTTGAGATAGTTGGATAGATAAATCTAGACTGCATCAGCCATAAAAAGCATATAGCAGCGATTTTCAAAGTGAAATTATTATAGATTGTATTGTAATAACAGAGTAGAGAAGAAATAATTTGTCTTGTCAAACTGTTTTCTAAAGTAACTGAACATCCCTGTTAGGACTTTGACCAAAAAGACAATTATTTAAAACTCTGTATAAAACTGTGGTAACTAACAGTTATAGTGGTGATTTTAAAGTGAAATTATCACAAACTGTATTGTACTAACAGAGCAGGAAGAATGATTCTTCTTGTCAAATAATGGAACCAGCCTGTGTGGACTTTGACGAAAAGATACAACTGTGATAACCAGCACTGTAAAGAACATTTGTGTATATGTTTCATTTGTTTTAATTTGTTATTGAAAACAAGTATACTGTGTGCTGTTTGTTTATTGTTGAAATTTATTGCCAACAAGTCACAGACACCTACTGTAAAGAATTCGGTCCATACATAAAACCTGACGCCCCTTAGGGAATCCGGGTATGTCGCGAAAACACCTCTGTGGAGATTCCCCAAAACCAGATACTAAATTTGGCCTTGATTTACATTAGAGTGCGTAAATAAGTAGGCCTAATAATTACTGTTCGAGACTTGGTTAATGAAATTATATTTGCATTATAGTGGGAATGATCATTAAACTGAAAATATGCAAAACAGCAGTTTAAGCATTACATTTGCATTATAGCAGTCCTGCAAATTTTGACCATAGTTAAAAAATAAGTTTAAAACATTACACTTCATCTTCAGTAGCTAAAAGTTTGATTATCTTTACTTCTGTGAATTTAAAATATAATGTTGCGTCAGCGAGGTCACGTGACTAGTATCACGCCACGTCCTTCTAGAAATATCCTGTTCCTTCATGA